TTTTATTTTTTTTTATTTTGGTTACAGCTTGATGCCACACCGTATTTTCAGTACAAGTATGGAATTTTCAGCATGGATATCGGTAGCCCAAATTTCGCAGGCCGACCATAGATATCGGGTGTGCGTCGGCAGGGGATCGAACCTCGGACCATGTGCATGGTCGGCGAGAGTCCTAACCAATGTGCCACCGACGCACATCCATCCCCCAAAGACATGGTTTTTTGTTAATGCGAAGACAATACTTCTGTATTTCCTGATGTGTTGCACTCACTGACAATCTAACAGATTATTCCAACTGTGCACAGAAATGATTGTATATAAGTGAAAAGGCTGTTTTATACTACTGGGATTAACATTTATCAAGTGTATGCATAATCTCCAGCGAACATTTAAGGCATACCTTGCTACTGCCTGTAAATTGTGATTGAATTATATGGTTCTATTTCTGTAACTGGCGTCCCTCATGTAGTGTAGTATGAGAAAAAATTTATTTATTTATTTATTCATTACCACCGGTTCGTGAGAAACTACTCAGAGATCGCTAGCCCTCTAACGAGTTCGACTAGAAAAAATATTCCCTTCGTCTGGATTGAGGAATGTGACCGTGCTTTTCTGCAGCTGGAAGATTCATTATGCTCGGTGTCCATTTTAGCATTCCCGGGTACATCACCAACGGCTGGTAAGTACATCTTAGATAAGGATGCTAGCCACACATCTATCGGAGCCGTATTATCCCAGGTCGGTAGTGATAGAAAGGAACATGTTATCGAATATGGCAGCCGCACATTGAGTCGTGCAGAAAAGAACTACTGCATTACCCGCAAAGAAATGTTAGCCGCTGTTACCTTCGTTCGTAAATATCGACCCTGTCTACTTGGTAAACCGTTTGTTCTGCGAACAGATCACAAAGCCCTTCAGTGGCTGCAAAACTTCAAGGACCCTGAAGGACAGACAGTTAGATGGCAGGAATACCTCCAGGAGTGTGACTTTGAATGTGTTCACCGTCCTGGAAAGCGGCATGCCAATGCTGATGCGTTATCCAGACGCTCTTTCTGACCGCACGGAGACTGCCCATCTTGCGAGAGTATTGATGTTTGTGCTATTTCGTTGGCAGGTTTAAGTAGAGAACAGTAGGCCCATATCCGAGCTACAGACGATGAAACCGCACTCCTATATCATGCCCTGTTGAATCAGAATGGTGGGCCATTTGTAGCTGATGTGAAAGGGAAGAGTTGGAGACCAGATGTTTGTGGGCGTTATGGGACCAGTTAGTGCTCGTGAATGGCATCATGTGCGTTCAACCAGGCCCCAACTACCTGAGAAGAGTTGTTGTTCCTCAGTCATTCGTAACTGCAATTCTGGAGAATACGACTTGGGACACGCTGGGATTAATAAGATGTTGCAAGCAGTTACCCAACGTTACTGGTGGCCCCGCCAACGGCGTAATGTCCGAGATTTTGTCCAGGGGTGTACAACATGTGGCAAAGTCAAGAACCAACAGAGGAAACCCAGGGCGCCACTTATTAACATGAAGGCTGGTTACCCTAACAAAATAATTGGCGTAGATATCATTGGACCTTTACGGGAGACCCCACGGGGGAACAAGTATATCTTGGTCATGGTTGATTACTTTACGAAATGGTGTGAAGCTGTTCGCCTACAGCGTATTGATGCCTCCACAGTAGCTAAAGCTATATTTGATTGTTGGATTGCCCGTTGGGGCGCACCCGAGCAATTGGATTCGGATCAAGGAACTAACTTCGAAAGTATCTTGGTTAGACAGCTGTGCCATCTATTTAGGATTAAGAAGTCTAGAACCACGGCGTACCATCCTGAAGGCAATGGGTTAATCGAACGTACCAATCGAACCTTAATATCATTACTATGCCAATTCTTAGAGAGAGAATCACAATCAGCCTGGCATATGATGTTACCAAGATGCTTGTTGGCCTACCGAGGAAGCACACACATGTCTACGGGGAAGACTCCACACCTTTTATGGACCCGCCACGAGTTACGACTGCCCAGTGATACCTTGGTTATGCCCCGATGGGATGACCCGCTAACTACGTCGGAAATGGTAACAAGGTTGCTAGGGGACATAGCCAGATATCATGGCTATGCACGCGAAGAACTTCAAGGGGCACAAAAGTGACAGAAACACTACTACGATTGGAAGCAGTGGGGCACACCATTCAAAATAGGGGATAAAGTGTGGCTGCGTCAACCACTGACTGACAACTTGAGTCGTCATAAAGCCCCAGCACAGTGGACAGGCCCATATGTGGTATACCGTAGAGTAACGGACAGCACCTACGAAATCCAAGAAGACAACGACAACCCCCAGAAAATGACAGTGCACTTCAACCGTCTGAAACCGTCCAGACCAAACCGACAAGCGCCGGGGAAAACTCCGCCTAATCTTGATAACCATAATAACCATGTGTTTCTTTCTCTTACAGGGACGGTGCCGAGGCGAGGAGAAAGAAAGACTGAAGTCTCTGGGGACAGCTTTTTGGAAGCGACGGGGTCTTGTAGTGGTTCAAATTCGAAAGGAAGCGTCAGTTCAAAAACCGGTGGACGCTGAACTGTAAAAGCCTAGCTCTTTGTACACAGATATATATATTTTGTGGACTTCTGCTGGTGTAATTCAGTGTCAATTATAAAGTGCTTTTCCTCAAGTCGTGTTCTGCTTCTTCGCTCTACCCTGCATGCTTGACCTGTATTATTGTTTGTGTTGTTCTTTTTCAGTTACTGCGATAATACACGTTCGTACTCATTCTCAACTGCCTTTTAATTTAGGTTGTGAATATCGAGTAATCGCAATGATAAACGCGAAGATGTACTAGGGTATTCGTGTACGCTAGTTTGGTCAAATAGAGCGCCCCAACAACTGACCCTTCCTGCATCGAGTTCGGTAGAAGATAATATTTTCCCATGACTTCTTAGTACTTTCAAATGCAGTCAGCGGATGGATTTCGGGTTGGGATAAATGTGATGACAAGGCATTCTCGCACGTTTAATAGCGAACAACTCTACTTGTACTTTATTTGTGTAAAATATCGATTCATCATTTTTGAAGCAGTCAGACGTAAAGTACAAAATGACTGCAGTATTCCTTTAGACATGTAATGTGCAATCACATAGGACCATTCAAACACAAATTGCCTTTAACAATTCAAACAGCAAATGTCTGCCTCTATGCAACCCTGTTGAGGAAGCAGAAGTGATCCAAATTTTTTAGGTGGTTGCTTCTATGCTCACCTGAGAATCTCACTTGACGTTTGCGGGTATAATATTATTCGCTCCAGTTTGCTGACTACCACATTAGTTGTCTTGAAATATTTCCTGATTCTGCGTTAGCCGAATTTTCATAAATATTCTCAGCTTCCAGCTACCACACAGATATTGTTTTCACATACTGAAATAGGATTGGTGCGTCTCTTCAGGAATAGTGAGGAAACAATTTTGTGGACTTCATAGTGAAGCTATACGAATGTTCAGTATAACTGTGCTAGCATTTTGTGTCTAAGCGCTCACAAAAATAAAGAACTGTTGCAACTTTAACTGTACATCCTACACGGTTGACGCTTTTGCTCAACTTCACCATTAAAAGCAGCAATCCGCAGCTATCCATTTGCACTAAAGGACTGAGTCCCTTCGAAAACTTTACACAATTAGGGAAAATAGTTCATGTCATTGGATAACCAGTATTGAGGATTAGGGGTACAAGTTTCCCTAAAATTGCGTCTCACAAAATCCCTGTGATGGGCGTTCTTTTGAGGAAGTATATGCCTTCCAGCAGATTTTCCCATCATCCCAGTTATCCCTAGTACGAGACATTAATCTTTTGTCACACGGAATCAGACACTCTGGCGATGTCCGGAAAGAAAATGGACGCACTTCCCAAGGAATAAAACGGGTTATTTGACATAAGTTCACAGCATTAGAGCATAGAACTTAAATTTGTAATTTATCGACAACACAGAATTTTAACCTAGGAATTACGTCCGTATGGAGACTACTTACATAAGAACAGTTGTTCTTATTTCCTTGCAACCTTTCGTCTTCCATAAGCTTTATCCTGTTATTTCTTTGATTTCCTATATTATGGATACCACTGCACTCAAATTAATTGGAATTTCGCTTCGCCTCCACTGAAACACAGATTTAGATGGATAAAAACCAGGATGATAGGACGAGCTTACAAAGTTAGCAGTGGAAAACATTGCAGAACCAAATCTGTTGTTGTTTGAGTATCTGTTCATACTTCTCAAGAGCACTGATGTCCTTCGATGCCTAATTATTCACAAATATTACAGACACTAGTTCAGCAAACTTTTAGTATGCAAAGTATCACTTCTGGGAGAAGGAATAACGAAATGAAATTTCCGTAATACAACCTACATAATTGGTGTAACTTTGTTGCAGCTGTAGAAAATGAACAAGCTGGCTTTATAAAGTTGTGTACCTTATATCTCTTCTAGTGTTAAAAAAGTCATTCTTTCAGATAACATTTATACCCCGGGAACTGATTGAAAGCATCAAGTGTATTTCCTCATAAAGGGAAATAAATGATTCACGAAGTCTTGAAACAACGTATTTATCATTCACCCTTAAGATACCGGTATACCAGTATTACCAACAGGTGAAGCACTAGGTTAAAATGAAAAGCACTGTGCATACATACTTTGAGAATGATCCTAAGTGCTTACCGTATAATAATAAAAGTAGCTTAACTTTCTATTCGCTGACCAGGAAAGACTGCACTTTCCATCTGCAGTTGATACTAAGTCTCATGCTGCTGTCACAGTGGAAAATAAAAATGCAACGAAAATTACATTTCTGTATCATTGTTTACAAGTTGAGATACACACTGAATTGTTTATCGTTTACATGGGAATATTTGGAGTCCATATCCAGTTTGCAGTTCCCAGTATAAGATTTTAGATAACGTTAGCAGGATTAGAAATTCTATAACATTATTCCTTGTTTTGTGTGTGTCATGTACATTTTACATGATCAATGAACGGCTTTCAGTGGAAACATTGTTTATATCAATAAATTATTAGGTCGAAACTGAAGCAAACTTGAAGAGGCAATTCGGATCAAGGTCAGGTCATGGCTGGTTAATGGAATCTTTGCCTATTAATGTTGGTCTAATTTCCTTGTTAGTCGAAATAATTCTTTTTACAGGTCCTGGAAAATATTGTTTCTCTCCTCCCATTATCTGACCAAAAGTCTATATCTCTGACATGCTGGAGGCTCTATTACGCTGTATCACGAAAGGTTTTCTTGTTAAAAAGACGTTTTATTCTGAGAGAATCCTTATCGAATACATCATTTTTGTTCTGCAAACAATCGGATAAAAGTGGCAATGGGGAAAACTCTTATCTTGATAGTGGTGTCTCGCCATCAACAGTTTGCTGGGCCCCATGGGTAACAAGCTTATCCCTCAAAGACACACATCCGAATCCAGCTGACCTCTCACTTCTTTTGAGGTCATGCTCGCGTTTGGTTTCTCTTGACCTAACTGGATGTGACAGCCTTTTTAACAAAACTTTGGGAGCCGATCTATTCTTGTCAAATGCCTTTGAGAGAGATGCTATAAGGGAATGCCTAGGAAGTACTCTTACGAAGCTTACTCTTGCCAACATATCCAGTTTGTCCGACGAAAATTTGGAAAACTTGTTTGCTACATTCCAGAGCTTGTCTGATATTGATCTCAGTGGTTGCTTATTTGATTTCAACTTAACGAACGTGAATCTCAGGCGCATACTTACATTTCCCAGATTCCTATCCCTGGTTGGTAACTTGGAGCTTGGGAGCAAATTTAAGCAACCTTGTGGTGGGGTAATGCACCTGAATTCCACTTCTGTAAACGATGAGTCGCTGCGTGCTTTGGCAACCATACCGGGACTACATATCTCTGGCATATACTTAGATAACTGTCGAGAGTTGTCAGATACTGGTTACTTGTATTTGATGATGTCAGACAGTGTTTTCAATTGTCTAAAGAAAGTGTCTTTTAGTTATCCTGGACCAAGTGTGACCTGTCGTGTGGTTGAAGTGTTGTTGGAGCGGTTTAGTCACCTCTTAACCTACGTTAAACTTACAAAGTGGTCATTCCCCACAAATTCACGTGTTCCCCCTCTTTTTAAACGATGCTCAGCTATTGAATATTTAGATTTGTCTTCTTGTTTCACATCACCGAAGCTGCTGGTTAATAGTGTTTCATCAGCTTTTACGCAGCTAACCAGTTTAGTACTTTCTGGATATTCAGGTTTGCTTGATGAAGATTTGAATTATATTCTGAAGGGTCTTGCTTGTTGTTTGAAGTCTCTTGATATCAGTTCTTGTTTAAATCTAACAGATGTCTCGTTATCGTCAGTTTACACGTACTCTCCATATTTGGAAACTTTTGTTGCAAGCTGGTGCAGAGGATTCACCGATTCAGGCATATGTAATTTATCTTCAAACGCATTGGAAACTGAAAATCGGAGTCTTTTTAGTTTAAAGCGTCTTAAGTCTGTTAACCTTTGTGATTGCAGTCAAATAACAGGATCCTCGTTTCTTTGCAATGCAAGTGACGGTCTCATCCTATACGACCTTACGTCTCTTCGTATTGGACGTATTGGTTCCCTAGATAAAAGCGTTCTACTTTCCGTTCCCTCCATTGCTCCCCAGTTGCATATTCTGGACATATCTCGTTCTTCAGTAGATGATAAGACTATAGAAGTGTTGACTACGAAGCTGTCAAATACTTTAAGAGAATTGTTCGTCGCTGGTTGTGAACATTTAACTGACCAAGCTCTATCTAGCATTCTTACTAACATCCCTTTTTTGAGAACACTTGATATTTCATTTTGCCCTTATATTTCGCCAAAGGCTGTGTTATTATTCAAAAGTTCCATGCCATATTTGTATTACATTAAATCCATTTATGTTGGATCCTATCTGAAAAGCGCCCAAGTTTCTTAAGTTTTTCCTTTTTTAAAACTTTATTGAACTTTTGGTTTTTTGTGAAAAATAAAATCCTGCATTATGATAAGCGCCACCAGTCTAATCATATTGATTTTGCTGTACATAATATTGAAACCACCATTTTGAAAAAATTTATGGGTTGTGGTTTGTTTTATGTTTTTTTGCTTTTGTCTATTTTAGAATTTCTTCAAGTTACTGTTGTCATTATAACTAATATTGTTATCAATAATAACCTACTGAGTCCAAGTCGTCTGTACTAACTTTTGATTTCTTAACTTAGTTGTTTAAGAATTCACACAAACTAGGTATCTAATCTAACGTAACTTGTTCCTCATGAATAGGGAAAAATTCAGTTGTTTACTTGGTCATCGATTTGCATGTATTACACAGGTCAGTCAGTATTTTGTGTTTTGATTAGCTTGAGTATATGGTCTCAATACTAGCTCGATAATTTTCTAAAAGTGTGAATTTTAGGTAGTATAAATGACTGATCCCTGTGTATTTTTTGCTAATTTGACAAAAGTAATTGTGTCTCCCGAAAATTCTCTATCTAAGGTGGCTTAGAATAGTGTCTATCTGCTGTATTAACAGCAAAGAAAACTGCTGACAACCTGCAGCCAAACGTTAATAAGTGTTGAACAGTCCCTGCAATTTTATTCGAATTGAGTTGTGCATAGGGGCTGATACTGGCGGGCTGTGGACAGAATATGTGAAAGCTGCTCAAGCCTAAGGTGACGCCTTTTTCATCACTTTATCTTCTGATTCCTATCGTTATTCTCCTGTATAAGTAAACTGGACCTAAACAAGTTGCGATAAGTGAACTCCGAAGAGGATAGGATTGTAATAACTTTTGAGCAGACTATTAAATATTTTTGAGTGCTATTCGCGTCAGCCTACTGCCATAATAGGATTGCCCATTACCTGATGTGTGCAAATGTAAACGTCAGACATCCGAGTTGATAATTCTGTCCGCAGTCTAAAAGATAGAAAGGCAACTGAACCTAATATGTTTAGGGATGGTGGTAATGAATTCAGCGAAGCAGTAAATAGGTCATGGGATTCCGAAACAATTCAGCTGGACCTGGGTGAATTGTTGGGCATTTCAGATAGTAAGGTAGTAAACAGATCGTCCTGTGTTAGTTATAGGGAGATCATTTTGATACATCACTCGGGATTTTAAGTTGAATAGTTTTGCGAGAGTTATTTGGAATTTAGCGAAAACAAACACGTCAAGACTTGGTTGGTTTTGGACGCAAACAAGAGCATATTGCTCAACACTTTTCGACATGCTTCGTGACACAGACGTACCAGCCACTGAAGCCTGTTAAATTTATTAATGTGTAGGTGAAATTTGACTCCGTATACTAACCAATACTCTGTCTCGTGGAGCGATGTAAGGGCTTATAAAGGGTTCTCATCTGAAGGGACGATGATCACTTGTCCACTAGTGATTCCCAGTATCATCATTCTCCTTTATTTTCATTATAGATGCACTAATAGATGTGACGCTTGTCGACTGCGATGCTTCATGTATTGGCTTGTTTGTGTGTTCTTTCAGGTGAGGACTCATGAAACGCAGAGACTTCCGGATACAACATGATTCCTAGTATGTTTGGCGTGGGATTCGTCTTCATCAAATACTAGATGGTGCTATAAGACCGGCTAGTCCAGACTAATAATTTAGGCGCGGTGAGTCAACAGATTAATGTGTTGACCAGTTCCCGTATTTTGGCAGTCGCATCAACCCTTGTGAACTGAATGCTGGTGGAATACCTGTACAGATGCAGAAGTTTCATTTGGCAGCGCCAGTTTGTGTCAACCTTGTCACGGGCGTAATCCCCAACTTTCCTGTGAAGGACGCATGTACTTTGTTGCGGTTTGCCCTGTCCTACTTTATGAATTCGAAAAATTACTACTGAAGGTAGGATATAAAGAAGGGCTGGTGGTCCAGTCTCTTGTGTAAGGTAGTGCATTATGGTCAGAAATAATGAGGTTAGTTGAAGAGGGTGAGTCAATCGATAAAACTGTGAAGCTTCATTGATTGAAGTGCCTAGGACATATATTTCGTACACCCATCAGCGAGTGATAATGAACAGGACTAGATCAAAAGAAAATTAAAAGTGGTCAGACAAATTCACGGCACTGTCCTACGGAATTTTTGACTATGGGTGTATACTCCGTCACTGGGGCCGTCCAGGTTTCAAGACTCAGCAAGCGAAAACTTTCGGTTAAATAGCTTAAAGTCGTTGTCAGTGACTCAGATTTATTCACTCTGTAGTATTTTAGATCCGTTAAATTCTAACCATTTACTATATACTGGCGTACATTTCCATTCATCATAGTTTCTATGAAATTTCTGTCTCTACATCCGCGTACTAAATGGATTGTGGCAGCTTCAATTACTGTGTTTCTGTGCAACTCAGCAAGTTAACACGCCTACTATAACCGCATACAAACAAGTGAGGTGAGAAATAAACAAATAATTGGTGAACGATGTAACTTTTCTTCTTTTGATTTACAACAATCAGGCTAGTGTCAATGTGGTAGAATTACATTTTTAACATTTTTTTTACATGGGATAAGTTTTCGCTTTCTGTAATATTTTGAATTGGTAACTTGTGTTCACACCTTCACAAAGCGGGAGTGTTCCTCACAAAAGTCAGGGGGCTAAAGCGAACGTCTGGCACTTATAACTGAACTAGTGAATATGCTGGTATACCTAGGGGAGCTGAGAGACCTTGACTACGAACCTGTAATTGCATGGGCTCCATAATCCGAACGGATCAAATGGCGTATGTATCTGTTTTGGTCACTGCGAACCATGGGAACACATTTCTTGACGTAGATCCACTGCCTTGTAGACAGACTTGAAGTCAGAGGCCCTGAAGGAGGGTTGACCCTTCAAGACGACCACTTTCTTCAGTTTGAGCATCCAGGCAGTATACCAGCCCTCACATAAATGATACGGTTTTGTGAGGTGGATCTTTTGGTACCGGTAATGTACGAAATTTGTGTTTAATATCGAGCAAGGTAGAAAACTTACATTGTGTAAGCAACCGTTAAAAATATAATTAAAATAAACTGATTCATTCTACAAGGCACACACTCTTCACGGACATTACAAAGAAAAATCAGTGGAATTTGAAGTCTTCTCAATGGCTTTATTCGGTCTCTGAAACAAAATTGCAAAACAAAGTGGCAATTCGATGGATAATTGGCATCAGTGGCAGAGCGGTTAGGACTCTCGCCGACTATGCACATGGTTCGGGGTTCCATCCCATGCCGACGTACACCTGTTATCAATGGTCGGCCTGCAAAATTTGGGCCACAGGAATCATATACTGGAAATTCCATATTTGTACCGAAATTCGGTGTGGAATCAAACTATAATCAAATTAAAAAATTCTTCTAGGCACCCGTAGTTCCGGGATTTCTATCCTGCTTTTTCACGTTTTCTTATGCTATCTGAGTAGATGTGTTGGCAGTGGGTCCCTGGAAAGAATTTCTCCCAATATGTTCAGACATTTTAGCAGTAGAGACTATTCATATTTAATAAGATAAGCAGTTAGATGCAGCGACTGGCACAGATGCATAAGTCACTGATTTTCGTATCTCAAGACTCAAGTTTGGTAACTGTTATGGCGACACTGAATTTTATAACCTCTTCACCACGTAAGTTGTAACGGAGTGTTAGTGATTTGTTGCTTATGGTTTGTTTTGACTGCAATGGTGCATTGCAGACACGAAACTATAGCCAACTGTGATCGATTGGAAATATTCCCCATATTGAGGTGGATACACAAGTCAAACTTATCTGTGACGTTTCTTCTTCACATCACGGAGTATATATCTTTCGCACATTCGTGGAAATTTGAACCATAAATAAATAATGAATATAGGGTTGATTTCATCAGTAATGACTTCAGTGCCAACAACCATGTGTTCTTATCCATCCTTACGGTATTCTATGCCCCCTCGTATTGTCCAGATAATCGCTTGGATTTCATAATATTATAGTATTTGTTTAGTTAACCCTACCTTAACATCGATGTATGAAAGAATGACTTCTGCCAAAAACTGTGTTAGAGCAGAAAACTCACTTCTTGACTGGATCCTAGTAAATAGTCGTATGTGTGCGGTCCGTCTGAACGGGTCCGTTAGAAGAAGGAAGGATGGCGATACCCGTTGTTGTCTTTTCATAGTCTCCGCTTACGACCCAACCGACTGCAGTTCGGATGAACTAAAGGATGATTTCTACCAAAAACTGTCTAATTTGCTGCAAAAAGCAAAACGTCCAGATATAGTTGTTTTAGCAGGCGATATCAGCGCCCAGGTAGGGAAGTTATGCCAGCCTTAGAAGTATTTAGGTGGCCCGTACGAAGTTTCCTGCCTACAAACAGATAACCGTGATCTTCTGCAGTTCTGTTCAGATAATCATCTGTTCTTAGTCAGCACTAACTTTAGGCACAAAGAGAGACATTGTGTAACCTGGTGACCTCCATCACAAAATCATCAGATAGACCACAATAGCGATAGGGTATCGTTGGCAAGGGTCAGTAGAAGACTGTCTCTCCTTCAGGAACACGTAGACTCCGATCACGCCCGGGTTCGCGCACGTTTATGCTTACGATTAAACGGACATAAAAAGTTGTTGGCAGCGAAGCAGTTACGTCCCCAACTAGATCGAGACTCTGAGTCCCTATTTAAAGAAATAGCGAAACGAGTACCTGAGGTCGACAGCAGGACTCCTCATGAAGAACCCTGGCACAACACACACTTAGCTGTAGATACAGCTGTAAAAGCTGTTGATAGCCTGGAACCTAAAGTTAGTAAGAGCCATTGAATTTCCACTGTCTGACGTTAACTGCTCCTATATGAAGTTTTCTATGTAGCTTTAAGAGGCTGTCGGGGGTGTTTCTGTAGCTCTTTGTCGTTGTTTGTGGTCACAGAGTGAAGTGAAGATGACTCACTGGCCCGAAGAGTAGTATTAACTGTAGCAGGGAAGCAAGATGATGAAGGTTATGTGGGTAAAGGAGAATGATGGCCGTGAAGGCTTCGTGTGCTCTTGGAAGTGTGTAGGCGGTTGTTACTCCCCAGTTGCATACACCGTAGAAGTTGATTGATTCTTTGGGTACCTGAAACAGAAAGAGCGTTAGTGTTGCGTGATGCCGGTCACACACGACCTGTATGAACTGGTTTCTAGCCCCCTCTCTCCAGAGTGGAGAGAGAGCATTGCTGGTC